TTATTATTATTATTTATTATTCTACAATTTATTTATACACGGTAAAATCTACAGTAGTTACAAGAAAGACAATAAACTAATACTAATACTGGTTTACAAGATTGCCGTGTGGGGGCTCGTTTATTCGTCGAAATACTTATTAACAGCTTTTTTAAATTTAGCCTGTGTTTGAAGCTTTCTTATTTCTTGAGGAAGGCTATTCCACAATAGTGCACCACTATAACAAAAGCTTCGTTTTAAGTAATTTGTTCGTGGCTTAGGCAAGTTCAGCCTCATTTCAGAATTTCTTAGGTTATACCCAGTTCCGCGAATGGAAAAGAATTCTTGTAAATAACTGGGAGCATTACTCTTAAGTGTTTTAAACATAAGACCAAGTTTAAGTTTTTGTCGTCTTAATGACAAGTTATCCCAACGCCGACTATCTAATAATACACTTGCGTCGGTATCATAACTTGATCTCATGATGACTCTCGCTGCTCGGTTTTGCAATTTTTGTAATTTAGTACTGAGTGTTTCCCCAAGGCCATCCCATACCGTGCAGCAATAGTCGAAATGTGGCTGAATGAGCGCTTGGTATATTTGTATGGATGCGTCTATAGTTATAAACGATCTAACACGCTTTAGTGCACCAATAGCAGATGCAACTTTCGTACATAGTTTATCAATATGATCATGCCAAGTAAGATGTTTATCAATATAAACTCCAAAAGATTTCACCGATTCAACCCTAGTTATTTCATTTTCGTTGATTCTAATATTTATTTCGCTATCTATGGACCTTAATTTTTGCTGAGATCCTATTACCATAAACTCCGTTTCAACAATATTTAGACTTGATCTATTAGTAATAAGCCAGCTATTAAGCTTTTTTAACTCAGAGTTTATTACATTTTGGAGCTCATCTGTTGTGTTTGCTGAATAACATATACTCGTGTCATCAGCGAACATTCTAGGTATGCATGATTCAAGCAATTTGGAAGGTCATTTACATAGATCAGAAAAAGTATGGGCCCCAGATTACTACCTTGGGGAACACCACAAGTCACCGGGGCAGAATTTGACAATTGGTCGTTAACACGGCACTTTTGAGTTCGGTTGGTGAGATAAGATTCAAACCAGGTTAGACTCATTTGATCAATACCATAGTTTCTTAGCTTAGTATCAAAAGTATCATCTAAAATCTCTTCATTTTGGCATTATTTTACAGATAAAGCACTAAACATACTTTTTAAGTTTGTTTGCCGATTGAGAATTGTATCGAAAAATAAAAATTTTGAATTTAGTCATAACCTCAAGCGATATATTATACGCATAAGTTTTGAGCGCGTGTTACGTGACATACAAAAAAATCTCCTCTTAACAATTATTCGCCTCAGGCTCGGTGATTATCGGGGAATATTCCCCGAGACGAAGTCGAGGTGAATATTCCCCGATAATCACCGAGCCTGAGGCGAATAATTGTTTTAGTATTTTTACACAAGTCTTTCGTATTTTTGGGACTGAATTTAATTTCGATTATTTCTTTATCAGTAACTTGCACAAAACGGCTAGCCGCCATTTTGAAAATTTCGGTTTTGTTATATTCACCTGTAGGTGAATATAACAGCTTAATACGTCAAATTTGACCAAATTTGTTATGTTCACTTGTGCAAAAACACTAAATATTCAGGGAAGATATTAAGCATCCGACGGTATATACGTATACGTGTCGCAAATTTCAATTATATCAACAGTATTTTTTGTGATGCCAATTTCTTGATTGCGAATGTAAAAAAAAACTAAATCAAGGCATAGACAGCCCAAGAAGGCGTGGTGAACATTTTTACCCTTGCGCGTGGCGCTCGGGCCTGCATCGAGTATACTTCGTTTATTATTATGACAAGGTTGGCAAGAGTTTTAACAGAAATTTATTACAACATTTACCAGAGTATGAATATTTCGCATATTACAAGCAAAAACAATATAAAATATACATCATTTCAAACACTGATAATTTACTACATTCTCCCAAAGTTTTAACATCAAAAGTTCATTCTAAGGATGTTAAAAAAGCGAATTATTTTCGGGGTTTTTGCAAAATTTTGTCAAAACTATGCTGGGGTCACCTAGTCTCCCATAATGTAATATTTTTAAGTCTTGACTGAAGCGCTGATTCGCTGTTGTACTGGAATCATGTACAACAGTCCAAAAACCATGACCAGCCGACAATTTAAAAAAATAAAGTAAAAAGCAAATTCCGAAAATACAGGACATCTTGAGAATTCAATATATAATTCAAAACAAGACGCAGTTTGAGACTGTAAATTTTCGACTTTATTTCAAAGTCATCTTCAGACAGAATGAAATACAATACTTTACAACACATATATATATACAACGCAGAGAGAGAGCATCTGTCATGTGGGCGGAAGGAAGGATTATCCAAGCGAAGCGAAACATGATAAAGAAAATGGTAATAACTGAAAATGGA